ACTAAGAATACGAATATTGGCAACTTTCCGTTATGTTATAGAAAAAAAACCTGCATGTGTGATTAATTTGCAATTTGAAGGCATTAAGAACCTAGATTTTTATTGGGCAATACACTTGTTTTGATATATCCTTCAAAAATATTGGCAAAAGTAAACACATGCTTATCACTTGGTTAAAATACAAGTCTGAAATTACTGTGTTCTTGAAAAAGGTATGGTATTCGTATCAAAATAATATTCACTAAATATGATTAAAATAAGAAAAAAGTTGCCATTGAATATGTAGGAGAGTTATAAAAATATTTATTTTCAAGTCATGTTCTAGATTTCAAGGTCATCTGTTATGGATGATACTATATTTCAAGCTGTGTCTGGGGAGAGGGAAGGGGTTCATTCCTGATCCTCATTCTCTTCCTAAGAAGGTCGAGAGAGGCTTCCTATTTCTTAGTTTTACTAATTACTACTTATAATTATGACCACACAGAAAATGAACTATTAGGCTTGGTTTTATACATTCATTTATTGAAAATTTGCTGACATTTACAATGTGCTATGTACTCTTTTGGGTATGCGATAGCAAAAGCAAGTTGTCCACCTTCAGGAACTTTCACCCACGTTTATATTATATCTCATTATGCTAAAGGACATGGGGTATGTAAGGTGTTTAACCAAAGCCTGACATATAGTAAGTGCTCAGTAAAGAAGAGCTCTTACTAATGTTCTGTGACATCCTTTTTAGCTATTTATCATCTACTGAGAAACAGAATTTAAAATTTCTTTCCTTATAAGAGTAATGATACCTATTCTGTGTACATGTATTGAAAATGTTATGAATAGTATAGTTTAATAAAGTGAGCAGAACAGATATATGGTAAATCCCTATACTACAAACACAGATATCTTCAGGTTAACTAGTTTCTCTTGAGATAAAATGCTATTATTCTCAAATACTTTTGAACATGTAAAAGTGATCAGAACAAAAAAAACCATTTTGTTATGGAATTGCTCAATAGATTATCTCTTACCACTTTGAAATCCAACTAACTATTTTGAAGAATTTTCTGAAAATAAACAGTAGAGTAATATAATCTCTTCTAAAAAATTAAACTTAAGCATATAACATTCAAATTGGTTTTTATATTTAATTTTTTACTTTCTGCTTTCAATTTGTTCCTCGGTAAGTATTATATCTTGAGCTGTGCCATTAAATAATATGATAGCTCCTAGCCACACGAGTGTATTTATTTTAAAATAACTTAAATTGAGAATTCAGTTACCCAGTTACATTAGCCACATATCTCAGGAGCCATGTGGGAAATAGATCCATATTGGACAGTGGGGATAAAGGACATTCATCACCACAGATAGTTGTCCTGTGTGTTGCTCTAGGATATTGTGAATAAAGGAGTATTTGATATGTACTACTTGTAATTATGACCACACAGAAAATTATAGGTTTGGTTTTGATCAGTTTGTCTTTCCACTGCGTCTTCCACATCTTGATTAAATGTGTGGTAATCTCTTTGACAGATAAAGGCTACTTTAGAATAATGTTAATTTCAGTCAGAGTTATAACCAGCCAAGTAAAGGCTCAGAAAATGGAGTGTTTTACTCAGTGACTTTTGGGAAACTAGAATTTTGAATATGGTCTAAAAGAAATGGCTCATCAATGAGATCAATGCTTTCTCCACAGCGTCTTCCAAACCTTTCTTCCTGAGTGCCTCACCATTCTACTCTGCATGCTGTGGTGGGTCCTGTCGGCGCCCAGCATCCCCCACTGCTTTTGCAAGTAAGTTTTTATGCTTCATCAGCAATGCCTCTGTTATTCTGTAAACCAAAGCAGCAGGATTTAATGTGCTCTGGAAAACTAATTGGTAATGCCATGGCAAGGAGCTAAAACCTCACTAAAAATCACAGCGATCCTATTCAGGAGGTTTCCAGAGATTTATCAGACCTCAGCACACTGAGCAATTGTGAGCCGTTTCTAATGGCATTGAAACCCGGGGCTGACACACCAAGGAAAGTGACTTGTTTTCCATTTGATATAAAAGATCTCAGAGGGACTGATTTGGCTCTTTCTGAAACGTGTAGCAATACTCATTTAGAGAAGAAAAAAGAAAGAAGGAAGGCTAAGAAATTGTGCTGTATAAAATTTCTATTCAACTTAGAATGTGACACAGAAAGTCACTAGGTGTTCATAGAAAATAATAAAAATTGTCCAGATTGTGAAAGGAGATAAATATGTCCTCTTTATGATCTTGAAAAGAACCCACCAGAGTTGTAGGAAATATTTTCAAGAGAACTTTTCCTCAAAAATTTCAAAATTTAAAATGTCCAGGGGTGGAGTGAGAACAACAACTCTGAAAAAACTTTTAGAGCGTGCAAGCGTGCATACACATACACACTCAAAAAGAGCAATGTCGAAGTAAAAAGAAATAAAGTTCACCTTGATCTTGAGATTTCTAGGTCAAGTAAGAGTTTGTAGGCAGAGATTCTGAGTGTGTGATGAAGAAGTCCAGTAAGCTCTACTCTACTCCGGTAGAGGCCAGCACATTTATTTCAACTGCCCAGAGAAAACTTTTATTCAGGTTAACCCCTCTGTCAGGTGGAAAGTGAAATAGAAGGAGTTGAGTCAGCCTGAAGTACAGAGCTCTATCACGGTTGGATTCAGGTCCCTGCTGCCTCCCGTGAATGTGTTTTATGAATGTTTCAGGAGAGCAGTTGCTCAACAGGATGATTCCTGACAAGTGAGGCAGCAAATGCTGGCCGTTTAATGAGCTGCAGGCTTCTGAGCATCTCTTTAGGGGGCCGATACTTTCCCACAGAGCACTTTACATGGCAGGGACCCAGCCACAATGGGCGACAGACCCGTGACCAATCATCACTTTCACTTGACTCATCCACACGCGACCTCACCACGATTTTTCACTGTGCAGATGAACTTTAGGAGCCATTTCACATGGAAAAGGCTTGGGCAAGGGTCAGTTGCCCTTTTGTATGGTCATAAAGCAAGGCTCTGTGTGTCCATCTTTTCTCCTGTCTCACATTCCAAGTGAATTTCTGGACACCATTTAAAGCACTTGACTGAAAAATAAAGCAGTGAATGAAACTGACTTTTATAGACTCATTCTAGCTCATCTTCCCATATAACCCTGTCCACCTGAAAAGGGATTTAGTGGATGAGCTGAATGTATACAGGACTTGCTGAATACATAGGGCCTATTATCAACTCTGGGATCGTTTATTAACCAGGACTGATACACCACTATTTTGGAAGTGACCTATTAATTGTCCATTTAACTAGAATGTATTGATTCAAATAGAAAAATAGAAACCATGACTAAACCTTTTACTCGCTCCTTCAAGGTGGTCTCCTGTGAGGGCAATTGAAAACTGTTGTGCAAATTAAGGAGACATTTGTCACCATATATTAGAGTAGCAGGGAGAGGCTGCTGGAGTAGAGACATAAGTCCCAAATCTCTGCTACTATAGCATTGTGGTGTCTCTGAGATTAAATCTTTGGTGTTGCATTCCTGGGGTAGAGATTAAAAGAGATCCCACACCTAGTTTCCGTTACTTCCCTTTGATATCATACTGGACTTCTATTTTAAAGACTCTCTGGCAATGTAGCGTAATGGACAAAAAACCCTATGTAGGGGCACCTGGGTGGCTCAGCTGGTTACGCATCCGACTTTGGCTCAGGTCATGATCTAACGAGTTTGAGCCCCACATCGGGCTCACTGCTGTCAGCGTGGAAGCCTGCTTCAGATCCTCTGTCCCTCTCTCTCCTCTCTCTCTCTCTCTGCCCCCTCCCCTCAAAAAATAAATATGAAAAAAACCCCCACGTAACAGGTGGACATTCATGTATGTGTGCGTGTATATGTTTAGTCATTTCATAGCAATGTTTTGGTGAAAATCTCTAAGCCCTGTAAATTACTTTACACTTTACACTAATGCCCAGGCCAGTTTGATAAATAGAGCACATAAAAGTAATTCTAAAGACATTTCCTAGAGAACGTCATCATACTCTCAATTGCTTGAAAAATTACTTTAAGAAAGACTCATTTTCCTCCATCTGCCTCTCAGTTCTTCCCACTTTATGCCTTTGGCGTAACTGTTATATATTGTGGCATCTATCCCTAGAGGCCTATTAAGTCCTATGTTTATCTTTTTTATTTAATAAAACATATAAGGGGTAAATCAGCACAGCTCAGATCAAGCATAGAGAATGCTGTACTTGGTGTGTCTCCATTTCTGAGGTTGGCATTTTAAAAACACTTTAGAGATGCCACAAGTGTTTTTAATAAACTTTGGTGTCTCATTAGTTATAAATCTGAAATGACTTTTTTATTTTTTTGTTTATAATGTTCATCGTATTAGCAGCAAATAATAATGAAATGGTGGATTTAGGCTGTCAATAAAGAATTTTACATAAATAACCATGATACCAAAGAACGTTAATAAGGCTTACATCTGCACAGTAATCTTTTTTTATTTAAGGCATTTACTAGATTTTCTTTTTTTTCTTCTTTTTTTAATAATAAGAACAGTTTTTATGCCCAAGCATTTACATTTTTTTTCCATTGCACAGACGGAGGAAAATGAACTGTCCAAGTAATCTTGTATTAAATTTCAACCAAAATGTGCTGACATGTGTGGACAGCCAAAATCAAGGTTTATACTAAACATTTTAATAAGCAATGAAATCGGTGGCCCTCACAAAATTGACTTCACTCTTTCTAAAGTGTAGGATCGGATCAACAGGTTCCTAACAAGCAAGTAAAATATCATTTTGACTCTTGTAACATGATTCACTTGTATAAAATTGATTTCGCTTTTCTTGTTAACCTTTTAGATTTATGATTGATTTGTTGTTGCAATGTGGAAACAATCATTCATCCAGTGCCCTTCTCACATATAATAAATAGTTTAATAGGCTATTTAAGCACAACCCTTACAGTGGGGAAACATTAAAAGGCTGTGGTAAAAGTTCTCCCCTCCCCCAAAGCAGTGGAAGGAAAATCTTTGATATTACATCCATAAGGTTCTTTTCAAAATCACACATTTCTCAGCTAAAATGAAATGGAAACTTGTGGAGGGAAAAAAAACACCTGAAAAACTGCGGGAGTCTTAATTAGGTAGAATGGCTAATTGAATTAATCAGATAATTATTTCATTTTGTCTTTGAGTACTCAACTTGCATGTGATCGTTCAACAATTCTATGCATTAAAAGACAAAGTTTAAATTTAGAGTAGTAGGATGAAAATACAAGCAGGAAAATATTCTGGGACAAACTGCTCTGCCTCTTCCTTGGGATATGAACTTCTATTCTACATCTTAAGATCATTTTGCTATTTCCTCTTCTTTGTGAAACTTAAAAGAACATAATATACTGTCCAAATTCAAATTTAGGATTTTGTTGACTACAGAAGGGAAGGCCATTACTTTTATTACTGTGAACGTAGGTTGGTCTTGAGCGTCACTGTCAAAGATGGGCGATGCTCTGATTAGTATTCTTGCCACCTGACCTGCCTGTGTTCTCTTTCACTGTTCTCAGCTGGAGTCTGGGTGCCCTGAGAAAAGCAACAAGACCTATAGCAGTCCTTCTGTGAGGATTTATTGTTAGCACTCTCAGATCTTCAAAGGGATGCAGCATTTTGTGCTAATAAAGAAAGAAGCATGATTATTTTGTTGAAAACCTAAGCAGTTTTATGCAGTAAGTTGAGTATAGGTTTTGACTTCTCAATAGTGAAGGGAGGGGTGTTCCAGAGATAAATGACAGTCAGTCAACCAGGAAGAATGTTTAAAGGAGTTGGAGCCTCAAAGACAATAGATTTTCCAAGTTGATGGCTCTATTCAGCGGTTCTACAGAGGCAGTGAAAGTATTTGAGTAACTTTCCAGGAAAGGAGTTCCCTTTCTCCCCAAATGTTCATAAGTAGTGGAGGCTGGGGGATGGGGAGCAGAGCTACTTAGAGATATAGGGTGCTTGTTCCTGATCTTGTCTGCAGCCCTTGTCTGACCATAGTGGGACCTCTAACAGGGCAGCTAATAAAGTCCTGATTTGAGATTCCCCAGAAGAAGAGCACAAGTACAAAATAGAGGAAAGAGAATTGGCTGAACAGAACAAAGAAGGGAAGGGTTATACTCTTGGCTCAGTGTGTGTCTACAGAATGATATGGGGCAGTTGGATTATGTGTTTAGAAGTAGAATGCCCAGAACAAGGGAGATAAATAGTTCTACTAAACTCTAATGGTCAGACAGCCAATTAGAACCTGTTTAGTTCTAGAGCCCCACTTTAAAAGGCACAGTGAGCAAATAAAAACCAGGTCAGGAAGCAGTCAGCAACTAAAATTGCAAAGGATCTATATGTCTGGTCATGAATTTTCTAAAGTGATTGAGTATTTTTTTGGCCTGGAGAAGAGAATAAGGAGAACATGAGAGTTATTGTCAAATTAGATATACCATATTCAGTATAGATGTAAAGGATAGAATTGGGACCAATGAGTGGAGTTTAATGGAAATTGAATTTGGGCTTAATATAAGGGAAAGATTTTTACTAAATCAAATAAATATGATAATGAAGTGTTATAATACAGCATTTCCAAGTACTAGATTATATAGAGATTGGAAGGTAGACTTCTAGTTTAAATAAGGCGAGCCATGGAAGGCACTATCTTCTTTTTCCAAGCCTCAAATCCACAAGAATTACATAAAACATACACACACACACACACACACACACACACACACACACACACACTACATCCCCACACGTGAAAATATGAAG